AGGCCGTGAAGACGCACTTTTAGTATCAGTGGGTCCATTCTCCAGTGTCAGGAATGGTTGGAATCAAAGGCATGGATGTCATTTTGGCCAACTACACTGCTTCACTGCACTAACAGAAAACCGGTTAATGTGTTTTCTTAAAAAGAAACACAGCGTTAGCTCTGGATAATGAAATAGCAATGGTCCATTAAACCCTTCCATTAAAGTGAGGCTGCAGCAGTTGGGGTCCTGATGACTAAATGCGTTTTGAAATAGTTCAGTGAGGAAAGGCAGTGCAAATAGTTCCGTCTGTGTACTCAATGTCTGAACGTCCACGTGAAGCCGTGTTTGCTCTTCTGGTAGGAAGAGACTTCATTTTCTAGAAATAAGTAGATCCTGCTGATTCTGGAAGCTGTCTGTGTGTGGTATACTGCATTTTGAGAACTGATTCCTTATCTGCCACTTTATTATAAGAAAACCTTAACTTTGAGTTTCCGCTAGATAACTGGGAAATAAGGGGGCTGGCCTTGAAGAGGCGATAGCTTTAACAATGAATATTGCATTTTCTAAGTGAAGTAAGTCTTCTATAAATTGATAGCGTGTGTGTTCTCAAAAATACTGAAAGAATCAAACCAATGATGGTGAAGTTTAGTTGCTGAGACTATTACAATGCATGTGAAACTTGAATACTGTGACCCTGCAGCTTAATTCTCTGTGAATAAAGACACCTTTTGAAGACTTCTGCTTTCCGGGATGCTAAGGGAGGCAGCTCAGTCAAGACCTAACCTTTTCCTAAGTTATATTAATTAATTAAATATCTGGAGGGACCAGCAGATGGTGTAATGGTTACATTGCTGGACCCCCACATAGTTGACCTCAGTTCGAGTCCTGGACAATGGCTTAAAACTCATGCCGGTCACGTGTGTATGCATGCCCAAAATCCTGAGAGGAGAATGGAGGAGAAGGGATTGTTGCATTGCCATCCCCAGAGGGAGTGATTTCTTGCTTTCTATTTCTCCAGCAAATGCATACACCCTATAGCAAAAATCTCTCTTAAAAAAAAGGAATGTTGAGTGGCTATTACGAGCCTAGTAAGCCTAAACCATTATATGTTGAGTGCTTATTACGAGCCTAGTAAGCCTAAACCATTATGAGAGTTAAACATGGAAGTTTTAAATTTTAAAAAGGCATGGGCCCTAGCCTAAAAGAACTTGTTGAGAACGATGATAAATGTTAAGTGTTAAATTCCAAATCCAAGATGATTTAAGAAATGGGTAAGGTTTCCTATGATTGGAGGAATAGTTTAGGACTGAAGATAACACCATCCAATATGCTTTGGATGGCAGTTTCCAGACAGGGGGAGATAGGGGATGGGGTGTGGATCTTGGAATGTGCTGCGAGTGACACGGAGCAAGCACTAGTGTGGAATGTGCTCGGGTCCTTGGAAGAACAGTGGCCACCCAGTCACTTGGTGCAGAGGAAGGGGCCAGGATGGGTTTTAGGCAGGAGAGAAGTGAGAGTCTTCACTGAACCACTGCTTATCTGCCTGTCTCCAACTCTAAGAGAAATAGTCAGACAACCAACATCAGGAAAATCCAGAGCCCGGTGTCACACTGTATTTGTGTGTGTGCAAAACGGATTCATTTTTGTTTAAGGTAGATAAGAGTGCAATCGCATTACTACAAGAAGTTATGGACTTCCTTCTTAGCAGTGACAAGGTGTGCTTGTTTGTTCATTTGTTTTTGTTTTGTCATTTTTACAGCAATTCTGTAAACATTAGCAAAAGTAAGGGAGAAAAAGATATGAAACAATACCAAGATAATATTTTTTAAGTGAGGATAATTCTCAATTAACTGGCATATTTGTATCATTATTTACTGGGAGGAGGTGTGTCAAGAATGTGCTTTATTGGCATTTTTTTTAGTTACCTGTTACAGCAGTATGAATATTGGTGTTTAATGACTGGTACTGGCACATCGATGTTTTCACACCTTCTAAGTTGTAGAAACAAGTAAGTCATGTCCGGAATGTTAGACACCCAAATCTCAACGTTACCAAGTACTGTACTTCACTCAAGTACAGAGTGCAATTGCATTGTTATTTATAGACCTGCATTTTTTAAACTAACCCATCCTATTGAATAATCATTACAATATATTTTTCAATAAATATTTTTGGTCTTTAAAAGTATTCTTTAGATTTTAGATAACTGTGCTTTATTTTTTTTTAAGAGAGAATTTTGCCTGAGGGTGTTTGCATTTACTGGAGAGAGAGAGACAGACAAACAGACAGACAGACACAGAGAGAGGAAAACTGAAAAATCTCCCCCCAGGGGGATGTTCATGCCACAATCCCCTCTCCTCCATTCTCCTCTCAGGATCTTGGTCACCCACACACATGCACCTGGCCTGATTTTGAAACCCCTGGATCCAGGACTTGAACCGTGGTTGGCCATGTGGGAGTCTAGCAATGTAACTACAATGCCATCTGCTGGCCCCACATAACTGTACTTTTAAAATCACTGCTATGTGGTCATTGTTTTTCACATTTTCTAAAAGAAATTTGCAGCTGTTCTAATCTATTAGCAGGAAATCCCCTTTATGCTCTGTATACAAATGTTGGCAACATTCAATACTTGCTTATTAAACTATATTAATTCTACAGAAGCCATTAAGGTTGACTGCAGAAATTCGGCTTTGGTTCCTTACTAAAATGTGAATTTTTATAATAATATAACAGATCATTACATTTTATATTATAAAAATTTGTAGAATGTTTAACAGATTACTAGTTCAATAAAATGCTAAGTGTGATACTGTCCTTTTCAAAATAACTACCACATATTTGCTACTCCTTAATATTTTTTCCCAAAATGATTATTGCAATTTTTAAAATTTTATTTATTATTATTATTTTAAATTTGCTACAGGCCACATATGCCCACCGGAGAGAGAGAAAAAAAAGGAGAGCGAGACAGAAAGTGAGAAAGCAAACTGCCGGGTCTGGGACTTGAACTGTGATTTGGCATGGGGGAATTCAGTGCCTTAACTACCATGCCACCTTTTGTCCTCACATGTTTTTTCTTACTCTATAACTCGGGGTGTAAATTCAAAATGAACAGCGGGAAAGAGAGACTCCCTATT